TCTAACATTTCTTGTGCAAACAGAGAACCTCCAGCTGTGAGCCAGAAATGAGACAATGAGGAAAATGTCATAAACTGAGTTTCCTTACCCTCAGCCTCAACTGTCACCCACAGACCTCGGACACTATGGAGACTGATCCGGGCTGGGTTTATTATTTTTTCTTGATCAAATTGGTTGAAAGAGACAAAGAAAAATCTCAGTTTCACTCTATTTCAAATGACGTTATTTAATACTTATACAATCGGGGGCTTTTTGTTGAAGTGAGCTTCCTAAGCAGCTTTGACGGATGGCTCTGTTGAAGAGAAAACTATTGATTTTAGGAATTTGATCAATCATGTGTGATTGGCCATTTTCTGTTTGAAAAACATTTTTTTTTTTTACTATCAGTCAGAAAAGGGTTAGTTGGGACTTTTATTTTGAATGTTCAAACACCTTTATCTGATCTTGTTCCAGCCTGAAGGATTTATAGCAAGCATATTTATCATAAAACAGTTTTAAGGAGTCTTTCTCTCAGATCTCTCAGATACTCTAGTTCAGTGCTTCTCAGTCAAAATGTGCCAGAATTTTCTATCCAAAATGCCATTCGTCTTATCTCCGAACAATATTTCAGATAAGTATTTTCCTATTTTGATATATAAAATAACTTAATTCAATTTCAGACACTATAATTTTGAGCATTAAAAGAAAACCTAGAAACATCAAATCAAGCTGTTTTATTTATGTTCTTCTTTCGGCTGCTCCCTTCTTCAGGAGTCGCCACAGCGAAATAACTTGCAGTAAAGAAAGGAAGAGGATTAAAAGAAAAGACAACAGTAGTGTTGGACAAGTGACTTGTAAAGTAATCAAGTCAATAAATAAAGCCTTTAAATACTAAAGAGTGCAATTTATCAAAAAAATTAAGGAAGAAGCGGGTAAAGATAATGAATTGATGGATAAAAACGAAAGCAGGCATTTGTAAGGAGGATAATTAAGGATGCAAAGAGAGGCTACTGGGGAAACTTCTGTGATACAAAAGGGAAAGAAATAAATGGGGAGCAGATAGAACAGAGAGAATATAAACCAGATTAATCAGGTCAAATATAGATTATGGTTATGAAGCAGCAGCAAAAACACAACTGGGGAAACATATACAACATGAAGCACAAAGAATCTGTACAGGAGCAGAACTACCCCAACAGCAAAGTGGAGACAGGATAAATGCTTTTAGAATTAAGAACACAGCTAGCAATAAATTATTGGATTAACTTGCATAATATCATCGAACACTGAATATTTTGAAGCCATGCTGGGAAAAAACAAAGAGGGAAACAAGATGCTTTGGGTGAGTGATTGATGGGAAGGTAGAAGAAGTTCATATAAGCAACCTAATAAAAAGTCCAACTGTAACATTACTGTTAAGGACATTTTACACTTATGGAGAAGAAAATAAGATTAAGGATTAATTTTAAAATTCACATGTCAAGGTACTATTTGCACTCATCATGTTCAATAACTCTCCTGCTGATGTACTGTGATGTGAGTAATATTAACTGTCCCATGTAATCACTTTTACTGTGACCAATCAATGAGGAACAAATAGAACTGTTTTGATATCCTCAAGGTTTGATTGATATGATATTGATATGATAGCGTTGATATGATATGGTGACGTGTCTTCAAGCAGAGTCCTTGACTCAGATCCACTCCTTCCTGTCTGCAGAGGATCTTTTGATGATGGCTTGGACATGGAGGGAGGATCTGGGCTGGAGGTTATTGTATATAACTTAACATGTCTGGTTCAGGAAGTCAGAGCAGGTCAGCGTTTCAGACGGAGAAAAAGGCATTGATAAGAGTGTGATCTTGTAATTGTAATTTAATCTCTAAATTAAAATAATTTGCTAAACTACACAATCTCTAAATAATGTATTTGAGCAAAAGTGTTTGAAAAGTTGCTCTGTGATCAACTGAAATAATTTTTAGAAACAAATCTTTTAAATCCTTTTCAGTCAGGTTTTAGGAAGCAGCACTGCAACTGCAACTGCCGCTCTAAACGTTTTAAATGATGAGGCACTGGATTCTAAAAAGGTTTGCTCTGCTCTGTTTATTGATTTATCCAAGGCATTCGATATTTGACGGTGGACCACAGTATCCTGGTAAATATTCTTCTCAAACTGGGCATCTCCAAAGAAGCATCTTGCTGGTTTGTAGATTATTTGGCAAATAGGACACAATGTGCACAGATGGCTGGAGCAAGCTCAAGTTATCTTAAAGTAAAAAAGGGCGTACCCCAGGGCTCTGTCTTGGGGCCCATCTTATTTACAATTTACATTACTGTACTGTGTGAAAATGTAAAAGTGTTCTACAAATTGTTCATTTGTTTTCTGAAATGTAAATTTGTTGCACCTCCTGGCCACCGTACAAGAGTCATTAATATCTGTAAATTTAGCAATGATGCAGTTCACGGGATATATGTTATGTAAAATTTTAAAGTGTATTTCTTTGACTTTGTTAGAGATACAGAATGAGCCAGGCCCTTCTCCAGTTTTCTTATGAAAGCACTGGCGTATGTGTCGATTGTTACATTTTTTATCTGTTAGTTTAATTCCTTCCAGTGTGAGCGTGGGTAGAGTTTTTTTAAATTCACTGTAACACATGGACTTTTAACAAGTTGAATTCGATTTTTGGGAACACCACGAGAGAGTGAACATGTGATTGAAGTTTGTCAAAGATATGAGAGAGAGAAAAGATGAATGATAAAGGAATTTAGAAAAATCAGAGAAAAACTTAAAAAAATAAAAATTAAAGAAATATTTAATATCTCAAACATACTACAAAAAGAGTCGGGAGTAAATGCATTACCATTTTAGTTATGTTCTTCAGGATAACAAAGCTGATTAATAGAATATGGCTTTGGGCAACATGTACAGTACAAAAGATAATAGACAGACATTCTGATCCACATTCCATACCAGCAAATGACGGTAATGTGCATCATAAGTTGTTGGCCAACCGCCCAAAAACACAGGAAGAAGTGGGAAAAAAGGTGTTTCTAGAGGACAAACACTGATTGGCTAACTGTATTTGCTGGCTCTTTAGGTAAGTTACCTCAGCTCTTTGTTTTTAACTGAAGGCTTCTAAGAAACAGCATTATATCTGATGTCAAACACAAGAAGATTCTCTTTTGTTCTTGGGTTGTAGGCTGCACCTGACACAGGTTGGCTTGAGTGTGGTCTGGGTACAATGAAATATGAAGCATCTGAAGTGAAACCTGTTCCCATTTGTCAAAAAGTCTGGTCTCAATTAAAGATCATGAGTCCTGTAACTATGGCCCAAAACAAACGCTAAAAACAAAATTTGCTCTTTAGAAGTGCTCTTCTATGAGATCTGATCTATGAAAGGAGCTGAAACATGGATTAGGATTGACCCTTAAAATCTGACAGCTGAGGAAGTTAACCAGTACCTGCTCCAGTTGCAGAAATCTGACAGAAACTGACAATCACTCATCTGCAGTGACTGATTTAAAAGGTTGAACAAGAAAATGTGACGTTAAAGGTAACATCCTTTGTCCCAAGGCCAGTTTAAGTATAATTATTGGTTACCTTATTTTTCTTTCTTTATGAATCGATTGTAACTATTTTCACATTATTCAACAACCAAAACCGATTTTGTTTTTTAATGTAACGGCTAGGTATTAAAAAACAAACATTTAGCCCTCCCCACCATAGATATAAAAGTCTATGCTATCTATTTATTCTTATGTTGTTTTTATTTTGAAATGTAACCGGAAAATCTGTGTTGAGAGGAGGAAAAAGAAGTTGTGGAGACACCGCTAACGTCGAACAGGTTAACACCATAGACATAATTAATAATATACCTGTGATTAACACAATCTGTCAATAACGCCTTGTTTTTAGACATAATATGGGTATGGTTAACACAAACGGCCTTTTTTTTTGTTTAGCGTTTTTTTTTTTTTTTTGTCCAATCAGATGTGGCCCTTCAGATACGCCTATTTTACTATTATCCAATCAGATGTGGTGTTCTGGATATGCCTATTTTTCTATCGTCCAACCATGATCTTGAAGATACGCCCATTGTTTTATCGTCCAATCAGATGTGGCTCTTCAGATACGCCTTCCGAATTTGTCTCCAGTCCAGATATGCCTTCAGAATTTGTCTGCGGAGATACCTACTTGGGCAAATATATGTTACAATGGTATGCCATAACCGCTCCTACAACACCACGTATGAGATTCTGGATGTCCCACCGGTTTTTCCTTGACACTTTACATCTAAAACAAAACCCGGCAAAGGAGAAATAAGCGTCCAAACACATCGCCGCTGACCCAAGGTAACACTTGTTATCCGTATTTACAGAGCAGCACAACAAACCAACCAAAAGAAAATACAAAACAACGTTCATAAATGTATCTGCTAAAGTTGCCCACTAGCTAACATTAGCTATGAATCATAGGCCACTGCTAAAACGTTCAGTTATTGTCAGGAATGTTACGTTTTATTTTTGGCAGCCCATTCCACACATTAGCTGTTCGTAAGATTTATCAGTAAGTAAAAGTCTTTTTTGTTTCTGTCCTGTTTTGTTTCGTCTTTCACGTACTGGGAACATGCTAACTAGTGCTAGCATAAGTTTGTTTCTCAAGTCAGACTGGTGATCTCTGCCTAACCAAAGGAGCATTCAGTTTAACAGACTGGTTTGTTAGTAGCCTAATCTTTTCTTAGTTTTCATTCATTCAACCTTTATTTAGACAGGTTAATCCCACTGAGCCTCGAGGACTCATTTACAAGAGAGACCTGAGCGAGTTAACTTATTATTTAATCAGCTAACAAACTGACCTGACATCCTGGTTTTCTATCAGGCGCCGTAAACATTAATTTCATGATCAGGTAAGATGTTGAGTCATCCTTCATTTTTAATATTGTTGCTTCAAAGATGACATATTGTGATCTTCTGAACGATATTTGTTCTTCTGGGTTTTTGAAGGTCCTTCAAAGTGTTTATTTGTTTATTAATTTTTGGATGAGTGTAATTTATTTTCTATCCAGCACCACCTTCAAACAAATAGGCATCTAATCTCAAAGGGAAACTAATGTAACATTTTTACTTGAATTTTTAGGTTTTTTTTTTTTTTTTTTACTTTAAGTTGGTCACAGCCACATAATTTATTTTAAATTTTGTGTAGTGCATCACAAATGGTAGTTTGATGGACATAAATTAGTAATTTAGCTCCACCAGAGTTATTTAACTGAGCTATTGACATGACCAGAAGGATGGTGCATCTCAGGCCTTTTTCAGGTGTTGACTGGATTTGCCAGTATTTATTTATTTTCTTACGTACATATGACATGACTTTCAGAGACTTTTAGGCATGCCACTTCTTCTTGTGTCCTGCTTTTGTAAAAATCTTTTCTTTTTTTTAAAATACGTTGTCATAATCGGGTACAGAGTTTCTGTACGAAGGCTAAACCGAGACGGTTTATCAAGCACCACTGTTCGCTGTGTCAGTAATCTCCCTAATCCAACTTCAGATGAAAATAAATAAATACAAGTATTTCAAAATAAAACGGTGAGCTGTAAGAGTAGCAGGTTCTTTTTTAGGGAGGCACGATATTGGATTTATTTTTTGTTAATTTAATTCATTTACAGTTTAAAATAAATATGTCACATGTTGATATGAAATAAAAGTTCTGAATGAAAAGGAGTAGTTTGAAGAAAAAAATCTTATATAGTCTACCCCTTTTCCCAAAAGTCAATCTACGACACCAAAAGCAACTAATTTTCAATCAACTAAAGACACAACTTTGGACACAAAACAGGCAATGTGTATATTTAAAGAAAACAAACAAACAAACATTATCTTTGTTATGATACAGAACTCTGAATCAATATACTTCATTATACCTTGAAAGAAGATTATATTTAATTTTTTTCTTAAAAGTAAAAATACATTTACTCTCTTTGGTTTCTTTAGACAGTTCCACAGATTTGTTCCATAAACAGAAATACAACGATCCATTTGTTTAGTTCTGACTTTGTGGTTTAAAAAAATTTCTGATCCTCTCAAATTATAAATGCTGTCTCTTTTAATAAATCTTTTTTGCAAACGCACTTATAACATACTGTTATCTATTTTAAACATAACTTGCAGAATGTAATAGTCCACCAAGTCGTGAAATTTCATTAATTTTAAGTTACAGAACAATGGATTTGTTGGATCTCTGTAGCGTTTTCCACTTATAATTCTAACAGCTCTTTTTTGCAGAATAAAAATAGAATTTGTATCCGATTTACAGGCATTCCCCCAAACTTCTACACAATAGGTCAAATAGGGAATGATGAGTGAATTATACAATATAATCAATGCTTCATCATTTATTGAGTCTTTTGAGATTTTTGGCCGATATGCCAATATGTTGAAACTTATTTGGCTGATAATCGATACCAATACCGATATTTCCCCCTAGACCTACTTACAAAGACTACATAGTTTTCTCTGCTGTGGAATTAAAATACTACATTATTCTACATGGTCTTTGTCAGTTTGGCCGCTACCAAATGCAGATGCCAAAAAGGGGGCTGCAAATGATGTAACACTTCAACTTGGATTATGTTTAATGTTAAATGTATTCATGACATTTACTCTTAACACGACTACACTTGAACAATGCAAATTTGGACCCATTATATCGGTGAGTTGTTTTGATGGAATGGCCGTTGTCCGATATTTAACTTTATCGCTAATATCGGCCGATACGATGCAATGCCGATACTATTGTGTATCCATATTCTTTTTATGTTTAGTTAATTTTTTGAGGTTAATTTGTTTGCATAAAGCCATTTCTTAAAATGTGCTCTATTTAATGAAGAAGCGTGGAAGTTTTGGCACTAATTCTGTTTTTTGTTGAGCTAAAACATGTCACGCATATCTTAAAGCTCAAATAATAATAATATAATAACAATATAAACTTTATTTTCATTCAAAATTGTACAGTGCACAATGCAAAATTTAACTAAATTTAGATTTATTTCCCCACAGCAGTGCAGGAGTACATAATTGACATATAGACTTTGGTGTTTGGGAATGTCTGTGGTTGTGTGTGTATGTTTGCTATTGTGGTCACTTCATTAGTGACATGAGTTCAGCAGTCTGATAGCTCGTGGGATGAAACTATTACAGAACCTGGTGGTTCTGGTCCTCAGGCTGCAGTATCTCCTGCCAGAGGTCAACAGAGTAAACAGTCCATATTGTGGGTGTGAGCTGTCTCATTTGATTTTATTGGCTCTGGTCAGAGAGCATCTGAAACCAATGTCCTGGATGGGGGGGTGTCTTGATGATCTTCTTAGTCGTTCTCACCATGCTCCTCAAATCCTTCCAGTCTGCAACCGGCAGCTTCCTTCCCAAACAGATGCTGCTGATCATGATGCTCTCCCATGGTTCCTCTGTAGAATGTGGTGAGGACATGTGATGGGAGGTGTGCTGTCTTCAGTCTACGGAGGAAGTGCAGACACTGCTGGGCTTTCTTCTTAGGGACCCAGTGTTTCTTGACCAAGACAGCTGATTGGTTATATGCACCCCCAGAAATCTGGTACTCTCTACCTTCACCACTGTGTTATTTATGAGCAGCTGTGTGTAGGCTTGTCACGATAACAAGTTTTGCTGGGCGATTGTCTCAGAAATAGTGAAAAACGATAATATTGTTGATAAGGGAGGCGGAAAGAGTTGCTTCTCTCGTGTGCATCCAGCCATTAATTCTAGCTTCTGGAGATTTTAATGATGAATTTTTATTTAGCTATTCTATCTGAAACTATCATCTTATTTTTTATTTTTATATTTTGATTAGAATATTTTAAGCAAAGTCTTTTGGAATTGGTAGACTACTACTGGTATACGCTCTTTGTTTTGTATTGTGAAGACATTTCTACATTTCTCAGCAAAGGTGCAGTGCTCCTCTTATTCTTGTCAGCCGTTGGCTTAGGTTTAATATTGGTGCATACTGTCTTAAGCTATTTTACTGTAAGAGTCAGAATTACTTCTGCCATCCTAAAATAATTGAACAATTATTCAATTGTATATGTGTATATAGTTACCGTAGTAACAAAAAAACAATTGCAGCATTATTTTAAAAACCTTTCTGGTAAGGCAGTAGTTATCTAAATAACCTCCCAACAGACTCTCTTGTTTATGTAATACTTTTCTTTAATGACGGTAAGCTTGCAGTGTTTTAATGACTTCAATTAAAAAAAAATCTCATTCCTTTTAACAAAGGTTTGTGATATGAGCCCGTTTTATCACACTTCTTCTCCCCAGTAATGTGTGAAATCCTTTTTTACTCGCCAGTGTCGCATCTAAAAGTACAAAAAGTAAACGAGTATGTCATTGGCTGCTGCCGGTGTTTTCAGGTTAAAGTAGAATAGAAACGAGAATTGTTCTGATGTTCTTTGGAATGTTCTGCCCTTGTATTGCCTTGCCTAATCACAAATATTTAAGTCCAGTTGCATGATCTTAAAAACGTATATCAATTTTAAACTATAGGAAAAATGCAACCAGTGACGAGTGCATATGATATCTAGGGAATTTATTAAAAAAAAATGTATTTTGCGGTAATATTGCTGTTCAGCTAGTCAAATTTTGCGTGTGTTGTTGTTGGCTATAATATTGCGTCTTACTGCAGCTTAATAAACAACAAAAAACAAGCAAATCTACAAGGGATGTACAATCCCTGTTTGTGAGAAAAACAAAGGAGATGCAAGGCGAGTATGATTAGAGAACAGCGTGGTGTGAAGTGTAGGCCTGTCTGTCGCAATAAACAATAAATCAATTTTCTCTTTAAAATCTATTTTAATGATCCAAATTCACGTTTTTGGATCGTTAAAAGCGGCTAAGCTACGAGCTAAGCCAACAGGCCGACCTTGGGGATAAAAACCTCAGTCTTGTTGAAGCTGCAACATTCACGGTTGAAATCCGTGCCTTCGTGTAAAAACTTGTTTTTCTCTGCAAAAAGAAGCTGAGAACTTGTTTATTGATTTTTATTATTTTATTTTTTTTAAAGCTTTGTGTGACAAATGCTATGCTAAAGAGCTCAAAACTTTCCGAGCGTCCGCCATTTTGAGAACCGGAAAACAAGAACGAGAGACAGCCCATGTCACAAGGGGCCTCCCTCCCATTTTTTATTAAAGAGACGCTGCTTGCTCCCTCACTATCATGAATCCTTAGCTTTAAACAGTCTTATACTGCCATCCAGTGGTCAAAAAAGGTACTACAAGAAATTAACCAACTTTTCTTCCTAAATTGGACAATAATTACTATTGTCAAATTTTAAACAATATTATCA